AATTCTTTGGCAGGAAAAACGGAGAAGAGAAGTCAGCTGAGTGTCCCATTCAAAGATTCATGCACTTCTAATTAAATATTGTCCCTTTCTATCTGGAACATCAGTCCTCTGTACTGGAAATTTTAGAATATACATGCACTTGAAAATAAAGTTTTACACACATACACACACACACACACTCAAACAGAAACACACACACACACACAGAGAGAGAGAGAGAGAGAGAGAGAGAGAGAGAGAGAGAGAGAGAGAGAGAGAGAGAGAGAGAGAGACTGAAGCACCCAAGCATAAAGTTTCAATGCATTTCAACTGAAATTTACAAATATAAAATTATTCAGGTAGGGACCTCCAATACAATGGATTAGTTTTATATTGTCTGAATATTTTAAAACTTTTTGCATAAAAATATTAGGGAAAGAATAGGGAGGAGATGGTAACAGGAAAACAATTAAAAATTCATCTATTTGTAACCAATTATCATTTGCAAATACTATGAAATTAACAGAAATGAATATAAATATAGATTTATAAATTATCTCTAGCTTAGAAAATAAGAGTTTTATGTTCATCTGAAACACTAGCTAGCACAGAGACAATTACCATTAAAAGAAAAGTTCAGACAAGGACTTTGCAAAAGCAGCATAAAAATTGATAACTCAGATTTTTGGATGTCAACATGAAACTGAGCGTGACAACAATGGGATAAGTGTTAACATAAAGAAAAAAAGTTAACTTCTTTCTTTTCTTCAAGCCTATCTCAGGTTTCATAGTAAAAATTGGATGCAAATATCCTAAAAAAGACTAATGACATTTCACAGGTAATGCAATTTAGAAAGAAACACTTCCATGTTTTCTTTTCCAACAATGTGCATTTTTGTAAACTGCTATAAATTGCAATTCAAAAGCCCTGATCTTCCCATCCCCAATCATTTTTTATACTGATCAAATGAATGCAGATACTCTCATTTGGGAGGGGCAACATGACATTTCACTTGGCAGTTCTAAACGGGTCACGGACCTTTCACAGACCCTAAGGCAGTGGGAGGGAGCGCTTTACGAAACCGTGTAACCAAATCAAACCAATGGTTACCCCCTTTCAATTCCACTGGAGTGGCTTGCACAATGCTTATTCACATAGCAGCAGAGGAACTGAAAGGATGGTCATCCAATGGAAATGTCTTTTCCTTTGTTTGATTTTAACAGAGCTTCAAAATAGTAGAAAACCATTACATCTAGCAACAACAAAACCGCACACAAACCCGTACACATCTTTGAGAAGGTGGGTAACATTAGCGAGGGTAGTGAGCTTCAATGCTTAAAAACAGCTATGCAGGTTATATGGAATTGAATATGGACATTTATAGGAGATGTTGCTTTGTTTGAAGCCATGAACACAAAGACACAACATGGCTGCCCTGGAGATGACCTATTGCTTTCAAGTTGCTTGAGCACATCAGAATTTCCATTGTTGAGGTTGATTAATTGAAACTGATAAGTTACCATGAATAAAGATTGTTTTTCTGTTTAATGTGGTGGGCCTGATCTGGTAAATGCTTCATTCATGTAGCCTTGCAGTGCAGCATATGGGCAAGATTCATTCAGTATCACAAACATACAGAATTTATTATGCTTGTATGGTCACAGCCAAAAGGCCTTTCTAGTTTAATGTCAAAGTCTGAATGAAAAATTCCATTTAAAGTGTCACTAGTAATGTTGCATCTGAGTTTTGTCCTTCAGACTGGGTCTTTAGTTTCAAATTCAAAAATCGTACATTAAAAAGTTAAATTCAACAACAAAGTAGATGAGAGAGGTAAGGAGACATCGGCTTTCTTTCAAAACAGACAAGCAATTTATCTGAAATGTTTGTAGACACCTATGACAAAGGCACATGTTATGGTCTGGTGCCGCCCTATGTCACACACTGCTGATAAAGTTATCACCATAATGTTTCAATAAGATACTGTCACCCCAGTTCTAAGGATCTGACATTCCTGTGTCTTTTTGCTGGAAGAAAAAGTCAAGTTTACATAATAAATGTGTTCTTTTAGAAAGAGAAAATCAGAAACCGAAGCTCTATAAATTATTTTACTGCAACAGTACTGTCATGATAGGGCAAATATTGTATATTCTTTGAAGTTCAGCTGGTTTAATTAGTTCCCTTAACAATTAAAAGGTGTTTGACTTAAAAATAAACTAACCACCAATGATTGCATCAATCATACAAAATAATAAAATTACATTAAAATTGGTTTAGGCCCAAATTAACTTGCAGAACTTTTAGTCATTTGGGGATTGGGCAGCATATATATTTGTAAACAACAAGAAACACAATTACTGTTCTTATGATCTTAGAAAACCTTTTGTCAATGTTTATGGATTCATTGCTGGAAGTGTTTTCTTAGCAGATGTTGAACTAATATGGGTAACAATGCAGAAAGCAGTGTAGGGGCTCTGTGTTAGCTTGCACTTTGTGGTGACCTCAAATGAGTGAGGTCAAAAATGAGCTTTTTTTTCTCTTTTGCATTTTCAGATTTGAGAGGGTTTAAATAGATAGTTTTGAGATGTTCACAAGCAGGCAATAGAGGCATATTCTTAGCTGGCTATTGTTCTTTTGAAATTTGAATTTGGAACCATTTTTTTCCAACCCTGAAATATAATTTAATCTTCAAAACTACAAGACCCCTGAGTGATCTGTCCTCCATAAATCTTTCCATCACTGGTAATAATTTCCACAGATTAATTATGCATGATGTGTTGATGAATTTTCTTTTGTCTGTTCTAAGTCTCTTTCCCTTTAGATGACTCCTGGTTCTTAGCCTTGAGAAAAAGGCTTTGCTGCATTGTTTTTTCCAGGACCTGATGACACCGGGATGCCCATGGCAGATTTGAAGGAGGTGGTGTGAAGCAGAGGGCATGGAGAGTGCTGATCCACAGAGTGGCCAAGGACCGGATATCACTGAATGGCTGATGACGATGAAGCATGATTTGATATATCTTGACTATGTTCCTCTTCCTTCTCTTTTTCCTAAATTAAAAAAGTCCTGTATGTTCTAATCCAGGCATGTCAAAATGCCAGTTCACGGGCCGGATGCGTCACACCGAAACTGCGCCCACCCCATTGCCGGCAATGTGAAAAAGGTCCTGATACATCGTGCGACGTCATGTGATGTCGCGAGTTTGACATGCCTGTAGTCACTTCTCCTGTAGAAAGTACTTAACATCTTTAGGTCTTTTGTTTGCCTTTTCCTACACTTTTTCAACTCTATTATGCCTTTTTTCAAGCATGCTGATCAGACATGAATATGGTATTCCAGATGCAGTAAATGTTATATATTTATATGAAGGCATTCTAATGTTGGCAATATTATTTTCAATTCCTTTCCTAATGATCCTTACCAAGGAATTAGGCCCTTTTATTGTTGCTACCTTCTGATTTAACATCTTCATTAAGCTATCTTCTTTGACCCAAGATAGATAGATAGATAGATAGATAGATAGATAGATAGATAGATAGATAGATAGATAGATAGATAGCTTTTATTGTCATTTTTTTTTTACTGTGGGCACAATGGCACACATTAAAAATGAAATTTAGTTGCTTGCTCTCAAAGCGTACACATACATAACACAAATTTAAATATACTATATACAACATATGTATAGATCTACACCCTTACATATAAGTAACATACATCTTGAATACATAATGGAAAGAGGAAGCTTTAGAGTTCACAAGGTTAATACTGTGTGGAACAAAACTATGACTGAATCTGGATGTTCTGCTTTGGATACCACGGAGCCCCCCCCCTCCCAGAAGGTAAGAAGGAAAACAGGTAAGAAAGATAATTTCCCTTTAACTACAGTTTACGTTTCATAACTTTAGAGATTAAATTATGGGAATTGTTTTGCATCTATTTAATTACATTTTAATTTATAAACAAGTAGAAAAGCACCAGGTGCAGATCCCTGAAGAGTTTCTTATTTCCCTCCATTGAAAAAAAAAGGTTATTTATTTCTACTTTCTGTTTTCTCATTTTGAAACAACAGTCCAGCTTTTTTTAAAAAAAGTATCAAAACCTAAGAGCCTACTTGATCAGACCATCTGCCTATTAAATTAGCATCCTTTTTCAGAAAATTGGAACTTCTTTATCTGAGCAGAAAAGGCAGAAAATAATATTACTTTCTCACTGTGGCTTCAAAGCAACTACAAGCTCATGCTCTTTTCTTTGATCAAAGTCCTTGACTTACGACCATAACTGAACCCAAAATTTCCATTGCTAAACAAGACATATGTTAAATTAATCATGCCTCATTTTATGACCTTTTTGCCATGGTTGGTAAGCAAATCATGGGGTTGTTAAGTGAATCATATGGTTGTTAAGTGAATCTGGCTTTCCCCATGCGCTTTGCTTGTCAGAAGTGCCCTAAGAAGCTTCTTAGGGAGAAGAAATGAAAGTCCCAGGACCCCAGGTTCCTGCAACCATCACACATACTGTACATGTTGGCTGACAAGCATCCAAAGTTTGATTACATGACTGTGGGGATGCTAAAACGGTCATAAGTGTGAAAAGTGGTCAGAAGTCATTTTTTAGTGCCATTGTAACTTTGAACAGTCATTAAACAAATGGTTGTAAGTTGAGGATTTCCTGTATATATCTAACAAATAGGTTGTAGGTCCAGAGTTTCATTTCCTGTATTTTATTTGTTTTTATTTATTTATTTGTATCCTGCCTTCATTATTTCTACAAATAACTCAAGGCAGAGAACATAACCAACAAGTCTTTCTTTTCCTATTTTCCCCACAACAGCAATTCTGTGAATGAGCTGGGCTGAGAGAAAGTGACTGGTTCAAAGTTACCCAGCCAATTTTTCATGCTAAGGTGGGTCTGGAACTCAGAATCTTCTGATTTTTAGCCTGGTAAGATAAATCATCATCAACCATTCAGTGGTGTTCGATTCTTGGCCACTCTATGGATCAGCACTCTCCATGCTCCTCTGCCTCACACCACCTCCTTCAAATCTGCCATGGGCCTCTCTTCTGGCCATTTTAGCAGGGGATTATGGATCTGAAATTCAATAATCTGAAGGGTACCTGAGGAAGATTAATCTAAACAATAATAATTGGTAATTCACGTTATTATAGTTCATTAATCAAGTCAACTCGTTCTCTTGGTTGCAATGGGAAAGTGTTATAACTAATGACAAACTTTTCATAGGTAATCCCATGTCTTAAAAATATTTAATTATGACAAGATCATAGGTAATTTTTCCCATTCCACACTTTTGAAATTTTTATTCTGATGAGATTCTCCACTGAATTGAACAGAAGATCTAATATTACATGATATAATGACAGACCTAAAAGTTGTGCTTCAAAGAGTTTTCATTAATAAATGAGATACAGAGTTTAAATTTATTTTACAAAAAATCCTGACTTCTCCTAGCTTTAAATCTGATCTTCCTTTTGGCTTGTTTGGGCTGAAAAAGAAGCAGAAACAAACAATGCAATCTATCAAAATAATTTGAGTTGCTTCTGTGCATCAGATAGTTTTGTTTAAGCTTTCTCTTTTTGACAAACTATGCAAAGAGTTGGTATTCCTTGGCAGTTTTATCTTAGGGATTCGTGTCTTTCTTACTCATTAAGACTGTCTCTAAAGATAACAAAAAGCAAATACTGCCTGGCTACCAGACTGTGAGAAAAGTCTTCTTCAGTCCAGAAAAGTAAACATGGCATTTTCTTTTCACAGGGTGGAAAGCTTGGATGTTGTCCACTATCTATTTTATCACTGATTGAGAAGAGATAATAAAGTCTCCCAAAGCAAAGCAGAAAATGATGATGAGGCAATTGATCTTTCCTGAATTGCTACTACAGCATAGTTGTCTAGGACTAATCACATTGATCAAAATGATAGTTGTCACCTGTTGGGTTAAACTATTATTTTAAAACCATGATTTATTCAATAAACCACAGTTGGATGGATTCACATCACTTTAAATTGTAACAAAGATTCCCACATTAAATCAAAACCAATCAATTCATATTATGACTTAGCTTATTATATGAACCTACATAGGCCTTATTCCTAAATAAATAAGAAGAGGTCATATAGCTTTTGGATCGAACATATATTTGGCATTTGGAAGTTATCAGATTAATCTTCTGATATCTTTCTAGTTTAGTGTTTCTCAACTTTGGCACCTTGAAGATGGCTCTCAAATCCAAGAATTCCTAAAACAACATATTAGCTGGGGAATTCTGGGATTTGAGGGCCACATCTTCAAGTTGCCAAATCTGAGAAATACTGCTCTAGTTAAAAGCATCAGATGATATTAAATATGTCCTATTGCTAGACAGAGCAGATAATACTTGGTCAGATGGATAAAAGTTTTTAATCTAATAACTGCTGCACATATTCCTAATGGGACATACTCTGAGGTAAATATTCATGTGATTTGTCTATTACAGTTAAGTCTATTTGAACCAAATACTTTATTCTGGCTGATTTTTCCTGGGCTAAGAAAATAAGCAGGACTAGATTTAATTAGTAATCAGATGGTAGACTAGGATTTATAAACCAAGTCAAAGAACATATCATCTGGTTTAGGGACTGTGGTATTTTTAGTAATACCAAGGTATACAAATTTCATCTATAAGAATTTCTTCAGATAGCAAAATAACTTTGCTGGGTTTGAGTATTTTACACTTAGCTTAGAGCAAGGAAGAATATATTGATTGGTGTTCAGCCTTAGAGAATGTTTATTTTGAATCTGAATTGTTCTCAGTCCTAGTAACAAAGACACTAGATTTATTAAAGTTTTGGAAGTTCACAAACATGCTTAGCCAGTATCACTATCTATGCAGGATGTTCACTGTTGGAAGCCTTGTGATAATATCTATTGAAAAATAAGCTAATAAGTCTGTAGTGAAACTCCCCTCAATCTGGAGACAGTTGCAACCTTAATTGTTTATTTTAAGCACACCCCCACTACACAAAGGCTAAGTATTTCTAACGCTTGTGTACTATAAACAGCAATACAGAAAAGTGTCTTGAAAAATAAAGTTTAACTGCTTCTGATGGTATCTGAAATAAACGACAGAAATTTGGATGTTGTTTTTAAACTAAGGCATCTATTTACATTATAATCAGCAAGAAAATAAATAGATATCTGTAAGATTTAAAAGTAACCAAGATAATTGATGCCACATATAATTAGAAGAAGAACATTTACCATAGGTTACAGAAGAATTACTTACCTTGGATTAAAGCATTGGGAACTGCAGTTGTAACTGGATTGTTGGCATAATTTTGTTCTTCATCACCTGACTCAATGTCTATCTCAGTAGTTATCTCCGGCTGAAATTAAATATTTTGTTATTAAAAAGTCTTATACAACTAAATTACAAGAAACTTTAAAGAGAATCTGTGCAAAATATTGTTGATTAATATGGCAATTTTAATACATATTATAATATTTGAGGATTTATAATTTGTAGATATTTTGAGTAAAATAAATGTATAAGTGGAACAGAGAAAATATAGTTCTTGAAATTGCAACTTTAATATATATTTTAAATATTGTGACTGAATTAATTTATCTTGAAAGCTATAATGTGGTTTGCTTGGTTTTGGTTTAGTGTGTTGGGTGAATCCAGCCACTAAGATTTGCAAAGCATGATTTATTACCATTGCAGTTTGTTTAATGGACCACAATTAAACAACCCGTGCCTCAAGACAATAGTTGAACCCAGTCATTCAAAAATAAGTGATGCTAACACAAAGCAGGATCAATCAGACTTTCAGAGTTCTTAGGCAAAAATGGAATTTTGAGTCCATGTTGCAGGTATTTTCCCCAACTGGAGGCTGAAGACAGGTTTGCCAATTCATAAAATGGATGTCAAAGAGGGCATGACACCTTACGAAGCACTGATTTAATGGAAAGCTAGCTATTTTCCTTTCTAGTACTTGTTTCAAAGAACATTCCCACCCTGTAAACCTAAACTATTATATAAAATGCTTGCTTTCCCATTTTGTGGGGAGGTTCCTCTTTCTTGTAAATTTAATGATTATTGAATGAACAAACGGCCATTTCACCTTAGTGTTGTGCTATCTTCTGAATTTTCCATAACACTGTTATGATTGTTTCAATCCTTATAAACCACCCAGACACATTGCAGTAAGATGGATAGCTCTATAAATTGTTAAAACAAATAAACAAATAAAAACCACCAGCTTCAGAATGCATATAGACCAATGATTCTCACTTTCAGCCCTTCATATGAGTAGTTTTACATTTACAATCATTTGTTTAGCCATTATTCAAAGTTACAATTTGCAACTGTATTTACAATAGCTGCTGCATCCTGGGGTCCAACAATCTTTCCATCCTGCTTCCAACAAGCAAGGTCAATGGAAGAAGCTGGATTTGTGAACCATTTAACAACTGTAGCAAAAACAGTTGTAAACCAAATGCAACTCATTTAACAACAATCTTACTTAGCAAAGAAAATTCTGGTCCCAATAGTGCTTGTAAGTTAGGAACATTTAGGCAAGAAAAACCAAATGTACAGGTATAGTATAGGGCAGGGCTTTTCAACCGGTGGTACGCATACCACTTGTGGTACATTAATGAGTGGCAGGTGGTACGCAGCCCTGCCTAGCCAAGTGTAGTGGGGGAGGGAAAGAGCCAGCACAGGCAAAGACTTAGTGTGAGAGAGTCCTCTGGAGCTGCAAAGACCCCAGGCTCACTTCTGGCTCACCCTCTCCCATGAGAAAGGAGGAGGGGGGCGGAGACAGGAGAGCCTATAAAAGGAGGCAGTTTGGGCAGGAGAGGGAGAGAGAGAAAAAAAGCAACAGCCTTGGGAGGAGGCAGAGTCAGCTGCACCAAAGGGGAAGAAGAAGAAGGAGGGGGAGGGGGAGGGCAGAGGAGATCAAGCAGGCTGGCCATGAGCTGATCTACAACTGCTTTGGCAGCCACCTGTGCTGGCAGCAGCAAACAGGCAAGAAATGCAGCGGGGGAGGGGTCGCCCTCCAAGAGGAATGAAAAAAGGCAGCAATGGCTGGAGGTGAGGCACGGAGGGAAGGAAGGAGATGGAGAGTGGAAGGATTCTTATGTGCTTTTGTGACTTTGAAGTTCTGGGATTTGTGCAATGAGGGCTTTGTATTCTTAAGGAGTGTTTGGCAATTTCTATTTGGCTGATGGCTGATTCTCCTGTTAGCTTCTATTGCTCTGCTGTTGTTAGCTGTAAGTTTTGCTGCAAGGGATTTTGAAGTATTTTTCTCCTGAATGGATTTTGCCTGTAGCATTCCTTTACTTATGAAAGGAGCCATTTGGGGAGGCTGCCTTAGCCAGCAGCCAGTACTTACATTTTTTTTTCTTCCTTAAGTGCCGTCTGTGCTCCTTACTTTCCTTTCTAGCCAGTAGCTAATTCTTAAAGGGGAATGTGCCTTTTTAAGCTAGTTCACTCAGCAGCTTGTCTTTTCTGTCTCTGGAGGCCTTTCCTTGTTTGATCAATATATGGAAGAGGGAAAATAGGGGGGGGGGTTCAAATTTTTCCTTCAGAAGGAGATGGGAATGAGAAAAAGGGAGGCAGGGAAGGGAGGGAGGAAAGGAAGTCCCGCCTTAGCACTTGGTCACCAGCAGTTCTACCATTGACTTTGCTTGTCAAAAAGTTGCAGAAGGGGATCACATGACCCTGGAACACTGTGACCATTATAAATATGAATCAATTGCCAAGCATCCAAATATAAATCACATGACCCTGGGCATGCTGCAATGGTCATAAGTGTGAAAAATGGTCATAAGTCATTTCAGTGCAATTGCAACTTTGAACAGGTTTTCTTTTTGGTCATTAAGTTTTTGACACCTTGCTAGGTGGTACTCGAATACTGCCATATCCTAAAAGTGATACAATCGGTAAAAAGATTGAAAAGCCTTGGTATAGGGGGTACCTTGCCCAATAGTAGTAACTGTGAGAGGGACCTCGGAGTCCTAGTGGACAATCACTTAAATACAGTGCTTTTTTTATAAAAAAAAAAGGTGCCGGAACTCACACACTTCATACAACCCGCCTTGCCTACCCTACAAGGTTCCATCCAAAAAAGGTGCCGGAACTCCGTTCTGGGCATTCTATGAGAAAAAAAGCCCTGCTTAAATATGAGCCAGCAGTGTTTTGCAGCTGTCAAAAAAGCCAACACAGTGCTGGGCTGCATTAACAGAGGGAAAGAATCAAGATCATGTGAAGTATTAATACCACTTTACAATGCCTTGGTAAGGCCACACTTGGAATACTGCATCCAGTTTTGGTCATCACAATGTAAAAAAGATGTTGAGACTCTAGAAAGAGTACAGAGAAGAGCAACAAAGATGATTAGGGGACTGGAGGCTAAAGCATATAAGGAAAGGCTGCTGGAATTGGGTATGTCTAGTTTAATGAAGAGAAGGACGAGGGGGGACATGATAGCAGTGTTCCAATATCTCAGGGGCTTCCACAAAGAAGAGGGAGTCAAGCTATTTTCCAAGGTGCCTGAAGGCAGGACAAGAAGCAACAGATGGAAATTAATCAAGGAGAGAAACAACCTAGAACTAAGGAGAAACTTCCTGACAGTTAGAACAATTAACCAGTGGAACAACCTGCCTCCAGAAGCGGTGAATGCTCCAACACTGGAAGTTTTTAAGAAGAGACTGGACATCCATTTTTCTGAAATGGTATAGGGTTTCTTGCCTGAGCAGGGGGTTTGACTAGATGACCTCCAAGGTCCCTTCCAACTTTATTATTATTATTATTATTATTATTATTATTATTATTATTATTATTATTATTATTATTATTATTATTATTATTATTATTGTTGTTGTTGTTGTTGTTGTTGTTGTTGTTGTTGTTGTTGTTATATATTAAAAACCAAATAGCAACATTACACTGAAGCTATGAAACTCAATTCAGCATCTATTGTATCTCTAACTTGAGAACTGTACAGCAAACAGGGATTCTGACAACAACATCCCCAGAGGGCTGGGGGCAAGGAGGAACAGCTTTGTGACATCATGGCAGGCTCTGTCCATTTTTATGCCCATTGTGATACCATATGCATGTACAAAAGGGGAAGAGCTTACATCATAATGCCATGATATTGCTTTCTTCCTTCTCACAAAAGCTGCAAGTAACTGTGGGGCCCTGGATTGTGAATTTACAATACTTGACCATTATTTTTGAGCATGCTAGTAATCTTCCAGGCTCTGAGTGACAGGAAGGTTTGCAGCACTAACAACCTAATTATTAGTCTTAGGCGAAATTACATACCAGGGGTGAATACTGCATATACAAACTACTTGAAATCCAACGGCGTTTATGTGGAGGATTCTGAATTCGATTCTGGATGTGTATAGGCAAAGCTTTCTGGAACATAAAACATAATTCAAATGATTCAGTGGCCAATGAAAATTCATGCCATAGTTCATAGTCTATCCTAGCATTTTCAAAATCATTACTAAAAAATAAAGTTATAGCAGACAAATGAAAGATAATGTTCATTCTCCAAATCAGAAGGACAAGATATTTTGTGATCTTGAGCTCCTAATTCACCAGATGTGTCACAATTTGCAAGAGATAGTGTTACGTCCATGCAGGACATGTAAGTGTTATGATATACAGAGGCATAACACAAAACAAAGAACATCTCAGATAAAAGGTCATATTTGGTGCCCCCCAAACTAGGCCTCATGCTGATATCAGAAGTGCCACATAAATCAGAAAGCAGGTCCTTTCTGAACTTGAATTTCAAAAATATCACATGCTTTTAGATTTAAAGAAAAGAAAATTAAACTACAGAACATGGGTACCTATTATACCTACCCTTTCAGTTAGTAATGGGCGTCTGAATTTCACTGATTGCTGCAGTGATTGTCTAAGATACATCTCATTCTTAATAGCATGCAGGCTAGAAATAAATGGAAAGAATCCGTTTTTAAATTAATTAAGTGACTGCCTCACTGCAGCTTCATTTTTACAGAATAGGGTTGAAACGGAAAGATTTATTGAACTTTCCCAAAACATATTTAGATGGCAGTGCCCCCCTTGACTCAGTGCCCCACTGCAAATTATTTCTGCAAATCCCCATAGTTCGAAAATAGTTCACTGTTGCTGCTTAACAAGAAAACAACTTTGAGTTCCAGTCTAAATCATAGCAAATTGGACAAATGCCACCACATATAACAAAATATTATTTGCCTTTACACTCTGGGTGGTTGTTTACTGAATCTTCTCCCTCCCATTTCTGGAGGTAGCAATATTTGCTTCCTCCTACGCTTTGGCACTTCAACAGTTCTTGGGGATTTCTCAACAATAGAACATAAGAATTTAACCGGACTATCTGCTAGTTGTTTCAGGACCTAGGATATATTTCACCTGGTCCTGGAGATTTAAACTCAGTGTGAAAGATATTCCCAAACCATGTTTATATCAATTTCAAACTTTAATCCTGCTCTTTGCAATTTCCTGGTTGAATACATAGGGTTTCTTTGTTAGAAAAATTGGAAACAAAATGGGAATTAAATAGTTTTCTTTGTTATCTGTTAGCATTTTGCCTTTTCTGTTAGGCAGTTTGTGTGACTATTTTAACTTTTATTTTAAATATATTTAACAAAGACCTTTTGACTGGTCTTAGCATTCTTAGCCAACCTCAGCTCATTCTGAACTTTCATTTTTCTGACACCAGATTTACAATTCTGGCCTACCTGTCTGTATTTTGCTTTGTGATTTGGCAATCTTTCCATTTCCTGTATGTGTCCTTCTTTGTTTTCATGTCTTTAGTAAGCTTTTTGCATAGCCACATTGGCTTCCTTTCACATTTTTTCTCCTCACTGAAATTTCTTTCAGTTTTGCTTCTCATGTTTCCTTTTTTAGGAAACATTCCCATTAATACTGAGCATCTTTTCCTATTGGTTTCTCCTGTTACAAGATCTGACTTTTAATTTTTAAAGTTGAGCAAAATCCACTGTTTTCAAGACTAAATTGCATATTTTGACTATGGAGTTCTCAGTGCTCTCTGAGCTTGGTTGTTTGCTTGCAGATGTTTCATTACCCATCAGTCATTATGGCTGTATCTGTTCATGTTTTGTACAAAACATCTAAAAGAGAGAAAATTTTCAAGTACATTCCCCAACCACCAAAATCCTCAGGTAAATTCCTGATTGCTCATTCACGTAGCTCCTCCTTCAAACTAGGCTGCCTAATATTCCTCTTTCAATTTGTGCTTACTCAGTAAGGAGCTATCCAGGTAAACAATCAACAGCTCCCAAGATACAGTCCTTGTAATTATCAGCTATTCAGGAAATGAAAAAAATGAGTTTTTCATACTTCACTCTCAACATAACTTCCTCAGAATAAATCATTTCTCTGACTCCATTTTTTTTTTGTCCTCAGGCAAATTCCTTTTAGCTTTCTTTCTTCCGTATTTCAATGAAGGATAAAGTGCATTTTAAAATCATAGTCTTTTGTCAGCCAACTAATTCTAACTGTGGTTTATGTAATGCACAAAAAGGTTATATAATTTGCTTACAGGATTCTGGACTAATTCTAGTTGAGTATGCATTTTACCAACACTTTAAAATGTCCAAAGAAGAAGCTTTGTCATTATTATTTGCAAGCTACAGTTTATAGCTTAGTGTTATGGGTGTAACAGGCCACAATGATGTGTTCACAAAGCATAAAACAAAGCAAATACACAAGGCTTAGTATGATGTGTTAATACAATTAAATAGATAGTATTAGTAACGTAATACCTTTTCTTTAGAATATCAAACTTTAATACCCAAGATTTATTCAATTCACTTAATTCCTTCTGAAGTCTGAAAAAAGAAAAGAGGAACATTTGTATGTTTTTTAAATATAGCATGATTGCCTTATACATACAACACATCCTTGTGCACGTACCTCTGTGCATGCAATCTTGCTTGTTCTTCAGCTTTCTTAAGCCTCTTTATTTCATTATATAATGCTTTTCTCTCAGTTGCCATTGCCTTTTCAAATATAGTTTGCAACACACACAAACAAAAAAAACCACAAGAACCATGCATTAATTATAGATGTATGGAAAATGCTGAACACACAGATATAACAGTTGGACAGAGAGAGAAATATTTATTCATTCAAGATTATCAGTATATGTTAATCTCTCTTCCCCCCTCAAATACCACATTAAAACTACTGAATGTAATTATTAACCAAAAATAAGCAGCAGCTGAGAAGGCTATGGGTTATATAAAAACCTTGGAAAACAGTATGTACTTACAGTATGTACAGCAGGTTTATTGAGAAGCCTACACCTTGTTTAAAAATCTAAAACTGTTATTGTTATTTCTAGATTAAAAAAAGATGACATGTAAAAACAGATTCATTCAAATGCTATTGAAAAAGGTACTGATTTGTGAAGATCAGGAGTATGGTATCCAGTGTCCACAAATTGCAATAACTAAGAGCATTTGTTGGTTCTTACTATCTTTATCAAAACTACAAAGGCTCTTGCCCTTTCTTAAGTATCTGTAATGTCACTGACAAAAAAGACGGGACTTACATCTCAGTGATGCAATGCTGCTTTTGTTATTAGGCCCTGCTTCCCTGGTGGATAACATTGCTTCCAACCTCCACAGTTTCTGGCCTTACTAACTGGCCTTATTAAAGTTGTAGAGGTCTAGGGGTCATTAGCTGCTCCACCCATAGTCAACTGGTACAGTAGCCAGTATTTTGAATTTTAGCTAAAAAGAGTTTATATTTTTGTTCATTTGTTGGCCTCGTTTGAAGAGAGAGAAAGAGATGTTAGCATAATCAAGTGAGTTAAATATATTCGCCATTGTTATTCTGCCCATTCCTTCCTTTGTTCTCAGTAATTATCCAACAAAACTTCAGTTATATTCAAGCAGGACATTATAGTTACCAGTATATGACTAAAACAATTTCAAATTCTGGCTTATTTCAGTACTTGAAAAGCAGTTTGGTAGTTGATATAATGGGAAACTGTGAATTGAAAACTGTGACAAGGAGGGAAAAGTTACTGAAAAGACAGAGCATGAGGTAAGATGAGTGACCCATAAACAAACAAAAAAACAAATAAACAAACAAACAAACAAACAAACATGTGACTTCAGAGCTTCTGCATGTCGTGACTCATTAAACTGATATTAATACATCCTTATGAAGCCAATAAATCTTAGCCTAATCCCACTTTTGTTTTTGTCCAGAAAAAAGAAGCATCTTCTCTCTCTAGAGTAGTTTTCTCAATTTGACATCTTCTAGAGGTGAAGGATCTACAATTCCAAGACAATAGGTTTATTAAGTCTTAAAGGAAATGAAAACCTCTAGAATAAGCTGAAATATAAAAAAACAAATAACATAACAAACTTAGTTGCATAACTTATCGATAGCTACATAATATATCAGCAACTTTATCTTCATTTTTCATCAAAACTAGGTAAGCACAAGATAGTAATTCCAGAAAATTGGTCATCAGATTAAGTTTTAGAGTTTATGTTTAGCCCTTCCAAAGAACTTTTGAGCTGCAATGAAAATCGCGTAAAATGTAAACTTGCGGGAAAGCTAGTGGAATGGAGTGTGGAACATGCCACTTGTCAGGATAAACCCAAGGAAAAACAGAAAATTCCCTGCTCCCTCTTCATTTTGCCCTTCTGTTACAAAGGTCATTGAGAAAAGTTATGAGGACAATGCTGCAGCTGAGGAGGAAGATGTGATATGGGGATAAGGGTTGTCTTAGCTTAGAAAAATAGCTCATTACCTCATCCAAAGCTTCACCTATCCCATCTCTTTTGGTGGCTGAGTCTTTGGTGGCTGCGTCTTTGGTAGTTGTGTCTTTGGTGGTTGTGTCTTTGGTGGTTGCTGGTTTAAGAGCTGCCTCTTTACTGGTTGTCTCTTTGACAGCTTTCCCTTTCAAGCTTTTTTTCCGGCCCTTTTTCACTTTTCCTTCCTGTTCTGAGGCTTTCTAAAAATACAAATAATAATCCTTCCATTTAAGACATGAAGGTTTTTGTAAGCGAACTCTCAGGCATTAAGCCATGATAGAAATCTCATTTCAAAGCTTGGCTAGTTGTGTGTGGGGGAGTGGATTTTGTCTAGCATCTCAAATATCCTCCCAAGAGAAACTCACCTGCTCTCCCCTTTGTTCATCCTTTGATGGTCTGTTTCACAGGACTTCTTTCAGATTCCTGCTTCTTAGGGTTTAGGGATATAAATATTAGGAATGAATAAAACACAATAATACAAGGTATGAAAGGCTGAATGACAGTCAATTTATAAAGCAACAGAGTTGTCTAGCCCAGTCACAACATTGTGAAAGTAACAAAATCAGATTTAAAAACAACAATAAATAACTAATGCTCAGCTGGGATGAAAAAAGCAAGTAAGATAAGGAAACTAACATGGGAGAAAGAACACAATGGGGAAAAACTATTTTTAATCTTCACTCCACAAGACAAATCTTATCTGTTAAGTGCCTATGATGTCCCCCTATCTTAGATGAGATGCATTTGAGATGAGATGAGGTTTACTGCAGGGAGGATGCAACAATATAAATAAATATGGCCGTTTAGTGGGGGAAAAGTTACTTATTTCTGCCCTGGCTATTAAATATATGAACATAATTTTGTTGCTGTTGTATATTATTTTCAATCACATGTGTATATTAATTTTAGAACAATGGTCTTCTACAGACTCTAAAGTTGAATTTTTAAAACCAAGGCTTGTTAAAGAAAGCATTCTGGGTTTCTAAACAAATTACTCTAGTTTCTACGCTGGTATCTTTGAATCTCAGTATACCTGCAAATATCTCATCTGGTGCCAATCAAAGCCATTTAATAGTTTTAAAATATACAAAAAATAGGAAATTAAATGTGGTCAAATGAGGAGTTAACCTCTAGAATAAGCTGAAATATAAAAATGCTTCTGCATCCTAGGCACATCTGAGAGGCATTCTTAACAAAAAAAAAATATGATAAGGAGCTGCTGAAAAGTTTATTCATTCCCCCCATCCCCAACAAAAGACCGAAGCTAAAGTGGTAATGACTTGCCACAAGGCTATAAATAATTGGCAGCAACAGTAACAGTCCTTTTCTTTCTGTTCCCTTCAGGGCTTATTTTCTTTGCCATTGTTTTCTTTTGCCTAGTGCTATTTTTGTGTGTTTTTTTTTCTATTATTCTTTGTTTTTTTAATGTTTGGACAATTGTAAACAGCCCAGAGTCACTGGGAGTTGAGCAGCATATACATTTAATAAATTATTTTTCTACCGGTACTCCTACTATCTCCATAACAGGTAGTCCTCAACTTGTTACCATTCATTCAATGATGATTCAGAGTTACGACAGCACTGTTTTGTCTTTCTAAAGCTAGTTGCTCCCTCCTGTTGCTATGTGGATAAAATGAGGGGAATGATGCTTGCATTCTTAAAAAAAAATAGCTTGTCCAAAAAATTTTCCATACAAAAATCATATATCACTGGAGAAGTATATATGAATTATAAATCTCCATTGAACCGAATTTGACTCCATGATGATTTCTTAGCAAATGCACGTTTTTTTAGATTACCTTTATTTTCATACACAATGGTTCATCCTATTTATTCATTGTTTCCAGTATTTTCATACCACAATTTCATCTCGCTAAATAATTCATGAACCAAATCATAGCAACAAATAACCATGATAATTATATTATATTGTAAGCTACCTTGAGTCACTGCATCAGTGAGAAGGGCAGCATAACAAATAAATAAATATTTTTCATGAAACATGGGTAAAATATAAGATACTTCACTGCTGGTCATATAGAAAATAAATCATTGTTATTATCTGGATGTTTGTAACCCTTGTTTTGTATTGTCAGTTGTTTTGAGCACTGCCTAGAAATACAATAAACAAAGAGAAACAAATACATGTTTTTTTTTCACCAAAGTTCTGGTGAAAAAGCCACTTTAGTTGTTTTTTAAGAGGTAATTAAATTGAAGGTTAGCTGGATCGCAGGGGAAATGTGTGGGGTAGCAAGAGAGAAGCCTTGCTTCTCAATCTGTCCTCGTCTCCTGAACAGTGGAATCCAGAGCATCTCTTTTAAAGCACATGGACAAGCTGGCCAATGTCAGGTTGGAAGAGACAGTTCTTATAATTATTCTGGGCTCTTACCTACTTTCTGAAACCTAACAGAACAGCACAAGAGCCATAAAAGAGGGGCAATAGATAATTTTGTATCAATTGCAGTAATCTTCAAGGGCAGTCCAAGATAGAGTGCATTGCAGTAATCAAATCTGGAGTTAAAGAGAACACAAGTGAGTTTTAAAAAGATTTAAAAAGAGCTGCAACCGGTAGAGTATCTAAAGTTGGGCAAAGATCCTTGGCCCTAGTTTCTATCAGCTAATTTAGGTGAAGATGTGAATCTCACAAGTATTCATAAGTTTGAACTGAATGTAAAGCAGTTCTTCCAACCTTTAATCCTTGAGTAGTTCAGACGACTAGTGGACTACCAATAGTTACCAAAGCAGCTTTGAGATCAAACAGAACAGCTATTTCTGATGCATTCCCAGGTTTTAATTCTAATTGAAATGTGTTCATATAATTACTTTGCCAGCTTCTTCAAAATCTCATCTAAAAGGGAAAGATTGTAGATTGGGTGAAAATTTTTAATGCTGTGGAGCTAAGAGATGGGCTCCACAGCTAAGGGATCACTGGATTTTTAAGATGACAGATACCACTCCCACTTCACCATCAGGAGGGGGTTCCATCTACCTGGTATGGTAAGGCAGGGGTCCCCAACCCCCCATGGCCTGGAACCATGTGGTGGGTGACCACATGAAGTTCTGTTTGTGCACACGAAACCATCCCCTCGTCCCCCTTTCCTTCAGCCCTGCTGCCGGTCCACAGGGCTAGAAAGGTTGAGGACCCCTGTGGTAAGGGATGCCAAGAATGGGATAGTAAGTGATTCAAAGAATAGGAAAAAGATGGAAGGAGTATGCAGGAAGTCCTTGGCTTACGACCACAACTGAGTTCAAAATTTCCATTGCTAAGCAAGGCAGTGATTAAGTGAGTTTTGCTCCATTTTGCAACCTTTCTTGTCATGGTTGTTAAGTGAATCACTGTAGTTGTTAAGTGATTCACATGGTCTTTAAGCGAACCTGGCAGCCCCCATTAACTTTGCTTTTCAGAAGGTCGCAAAAGGTGATCATATGACCCCAGGATAGTGCAACCATCGAAAAAATGTCAGTTGCCAAGCATCTGAATTTTAATTTTGTAACTCTGCCATGCTGCAACTGTTGTAAGTGTAAAAAGCAGTCATAAGCCATTTTTTTCAGTGCTGTTGTAATTTTGTTCACTAAACAAATGGTTATAACTTGAGAACTACCTGTACTAAAATTCTGTATAATCAGCATCCAAGATAACTTAAGAAATAATTGCTAATCACATGATTATCAAGTACTGGAAGGTGATGTTAAATCACATTCTGGTCATTACTAAATTGGAAGGCAAATCTATAGAAATATGGCAAGCAACAGAAGAAGAACCAGAAAGTTCTACAAAACTATACAGGAAATTTGGAGAACAATACAGCGGCCAACAAAATGTTTGTCTATGTACCAATGTCAAGAACGGAGACTTACAGAGTGTGCAACCTATTAGATCAACTTGTAATTTTCACACGTCAACAGAATAATTCTTAGCATTATGCAGATTAGAGAGCTACATAGAAACAGAGAGGCCAAATGTTCATATTTGCTTTAGAAAGGTTTAGGGAACAAGAAACATTATAGTTGATCTGTCCTGGATAAGTGAGAAAGCCAAAGAATACTAAAAAGAAGTTGGTATGTTTCTCATTGATTATAGAAAAATCTTCAACTACATCAACTACGTCAGCCATATTTCCTCGTGTGAAACCTAAAGACTAGACAGGAAATCCCAGCCTGGATTCCTGTCTATCACAACATGGCAAAATAGACTGCTCCAGGATGGCAAAACAGCGAAACAAGGCTGTATATCCTCTCTTAATTTTTTTTCAACCTATATGATGAATATATAGGAAGAAAGTTGAACTGAAACAATTGTGTGGTTTTAAAACTGCAAGACGAAACACCGATATATTGCTCTTTGCTGGTGAGTGGTGTCACTCTGATAGCTGAAAATGCAAATGATCTGCAAGCTCTAGTAATAAAAGTCAAGGAGCACAGTGGGAAAATTGTAACTAGGACTAGATATAAAGATGGTCAAATTAATGGCAACAGGTAGGAATCAGTCTTAGAATTAACAGAATAATAGAGTTAGAAGAGATCTTGGAGGTCTTCTAATCTAACCCCCTGCTCAGGCAGGAGACCTGATACTAGTTCAGGCAGGAGACCAGATAAATAGCTGTCCAATCTCTTCTTAAAAGTCTCCAGTGATGCAGCACCTACAATTTCTGGAGGCAAGCCATTCCACTGATTAATTGTTCTCAATGGACAGCAATTTTTGCTGGTCCATTATTTTAGTCACTTTATCAAAGAATGCAATAAGATTTCTCTGATATGATTTGTTTTTGACAAATCCATTTTGGCTTCTAAATTCTAGACGTTAAAGTGGTGGATAAATTTTGCTTATCAACAGCAAACTCCCATCAGGCCGCTAGACCAGTGTTTCTCAACCTTGACAATTTTAAGGCATGTGGACTTCAACTCCCAGAATTCCACAACCAGCAATGCTAGACCATCAGGTTAGAAAAACGGGAGATCAAAAGTTCAGGTCTCATTTTAGCTGGGTGACCTTGGGCCAGTCACTCTCTCTCTGCCCAATTCACCCCACATAATTGTTGTTGTGGGGAAAATGGGAGGAGGAAGGTGTGTTGGATATATTTGCCACCTTGAGTTTTTTTATAAAAATAATAAAGGTGGGATACATATAAACCAACAAAACTGAGAAATATAGCAGGAAAGAGAAGGGGATGACCAGCATCAAGATGGAAGGATTTCATTACAGCAGTAATGGGTGCACTGTTGGAAGATCTGAAGGGCCAAATTTGAGGACAAATCTTCCTGGAATAGGTCTACCTATGTAGTTCTTAAGAGTCAATACCAATTTGATTATGCACAATAAATCAATTAATAAAATATTTTCCCTGGTTGAACTGCACTTTTGACAGCTAAATAAATGTATTACACAACTGTAGTTATACATATACAAACACCAGGCAACTCAAGATCTTGTGCTGATTAAAACATATTAAACTTACTTTGTTTTTTATTTTTTAATACAAAATATTTTTCTTGTGCAAATATTGCTCAGATATATACAAATATAGGGTATTAAGGACCTTTTGAAATCCTGACAGGTGCCCACTCCTGTATCTACCCATAATTCAAACTACTTGACTAAATCTGTGTTAGAAGACAAATATTGAACAAAGCATACATGTGTTTAACCACAATTACATTCTATTTTCTCTTACGCTGTTTCACAAACTTCATTGTACAATTTCCAGTAAGCCTCAGAATAACAGCACAAAGTAATCAGATAAATCTGTTTACTAACCATCTCACATAAAAAGTAGTACTGCAAAAATGAGGACAGTTAATAGAAGATAGCAAAGAGTTAGTTTTCTCTATGTTTTTGGTGCAATTTATTGGCTGTTTGGATTTGTGCAGCCCAGATCTGGTAATCTAAGCAATGCTAAAGTACACATATTAAGTGAATTAGAAATAGATGCTTGGTGTGGACTGTGATGGGACAGTGGGTTTTGGGATTATTGTTTTGTTAAGAGAAAAAACACTTTATTTATTTGTTTAAAGCATTTATCTAGCTGCTCA